GTGTCCCTGAGGACTCCGTGTCCTCAATCTCTTTTTCTATTTTAAAAAGGGAAATATCAGGGGTCTGTTTAGACCCCCAATATTTTCCCAAAGCCCCTAAAAGTTAAAAATAAAAATATTTAATACAAATAAAATATTTGTAAAAATTAATGTTTATACAAAAAATAAAATAATATTTTTTTAAAAAAATTGAAAAAGTTTGGGGGGGGACAAACCATTTTTGGTTTTGACTTTTATATTTCGGTGCACCTCTATTTTGGATAGAGTAGAGCCAGGTGTTTATTACTTCGTGTCCTACTGGAAACATTTACTTCACTGTTTTGGTGACTGTAATCAGAGATCCAAAACCGAGTGTCTGAAGACAAACAGCTCCTGCAGTGCTCAACCGAGAACGTCCGCATTGGGATACTAGTGTCACAGCTAAGCCCTCTTTTAAATTTTTATGTCTAATGCATAGCAATGCATACACACTTCACTTTCTCTACAAAAGGAACCTTGTACGTCTCTTCTGCCAAAACATTACTCTCCCTTTTAACTAGCAATTATTTTCACAGGGCCTAAGGCCACTCTGCATCAGTAAGAGCTCAGATCAGCAGGCCTGTGTGTAAACAAACCTTGTGATTACCATCATTAGCTGTCATGACGATTACATGAATTGGAACCATGTTGATTAGTCTCAGGTCATTAGCGTAGACCAGGGGTAGCATACTCTGGCCTTCCAACTGCGGTGCAACTGCAAGACTGACAGCCACCGGCATGGCTCCCAGAGACAGATACACAATGGGGTTTTGCGTTTCACCGCAGCTGGAGGGCTGAAGCTCGCCTACTTATAGCGTAGACAGTCGTCAATCACAGCATGGTTGCTAAACTAGAAGCATGCATTCCAAAAAATACAACATAGGATCTACGTTCTCTCACCAAAGGGAGCCGTGGCCGAGAACGTTAACTTACAAAGCGTAGACATCTAGGTGTTAGCATGCACAGATCAATCGTCTAAGGAAACGCGACCATATCAGCGCCCACAGGTTGATTTTCTAACAAACATCCGAGGAAAAAGGTTGGCCTAAACATACTCGTAAATCATCAAAATTGCCAGTTTCTTCAGAGAAAGCCTGCCTTATGTGTGCGGGTTTGCTTAGATCCATAATGACCCAACTAAAACCAATAAAATATGGAGATTGTACTGGTCAGCACAGGCTGAAATGATATTGAATTTCCAATTATTTATTCAAGAGCTGTCCGAGATGCTTCTGATATCATGGACGGGTGCATTTGACCTGCAGATGAGCTCCTTTGGACCAGCATTAGACCTTCTAAGCTGCATCAACTTTTTAAAGCTGCTTTTGCAATCCTATTAAATGATAAGTAAAGCAGTACTCCAAGCCCATAGAAAGGAGGGTGAATCCACTACCCCGCTTCCAGTGGGACCACCCCTACATAGGAATACAACCATTGAAATACAGCACAGCAACCAGGTAGACTGTAAAGGTCACGTCAAAACATAAAGTGTACTTACTTAGTCCCCTACGGTTTCCCTTTAAAGGAAAAAAGTCCCAGAAGAACCTACATTTCTGAAAACACACTACGGAAAACTATTTTTTTTTGGCACAAAGGAAGATAAAGATGGCAGAACTTACCACTTTCCATATTCCCCATCATCGCTGGTGATGTGATGCCAAGCGGCGGTTTGTGCTGGTTTGGGGGTATTCCTGGACTTTGCATTGGAGGCTTAGGAGAAGACGTCCAACCTGGGGAAGGTACAGGTAAGGACGGAGACTTCAGGTGGACAGGGGAAGCAGCAGCAGACCCCATGACGGGCGGGGACTTAATGGAAGCAGCAGCTGCTGCCGTTGGTCCTGTCAACATCCCGGCTAACTGAGAAGGTGTTTGAGGGGATTTAAGGTTACCGGAAGGGGAGCCTAACATCGGAGACTGGACCTGGCGCATGGTTGGGGATTTCAAAGGATTCACACCAGGAGAGTTCACTTGACTGCCAGAAACGGAAACATTATCCAAAGGCTTACGGCCCAGGCTGCGCTGACCGGGCGGCGCAACGTTGAGGTTGCCCGGGTTATTGTTTGGGTTGAGAGGTAGAGGTGGCATGTGGCTGAGTCGGCTGTTAGTCCTTTGATCAGGCCCCATCTGTTCTCTGGGGTTCCTCAGTACTCCTCCGGGAACCTGGGACATATTGAGATAAGGCCTGGAGCTCATAATATACTCCTGTTGGGAGTGTTCAAAGGGTGCAGAATGCATTTTTTGCTGGTTAGGAAGCATCTCGTTGCTCCCAGGCCTCATCTTAATCATTTCTTCGGCGGCCATCACATCTCTCATTTTTTGAGAGATTAACTGCTGGTTAGAGTTCATGTTGACATTAAGGTTCATATCAACTTTCATGTTCATATTGCCCGGACCCATGCCAAACTCTACCTCTCGGTTTGGGCCCATGTTAGGAGGCATCCCTTTATGGAATTCAATCCTTGATGGGCTCAGTGCTGCATCGCCAGGCATACGAGGAAACATACCACTCCCAGGCTCCATACTCCTTTGAGGTGGCATACCTCTGTTCATTTCCATGCCAGGTCTGATGCCCTCCATAGCAATGCCAGGGGGCATGCCGAGCTGCTTCTCCGAAACATGCTGATGAAAAATCTCATCTTGCAAACCCTGTGGGTTGGGGAAGCGTTCCCCTCGCCCTGGGCCGCTAAATATGCTCTGTCCAGGGGGAAAGCCACGTCCGTCAGGAATTTTTGGCACCTCGTCTGGCCAATTAACACCGGGGAGTCCAGGTCTGGATCCAGGATTTGGAACATTAGGTCCGTCCATATCAGGGTTCATTATTCCGACAAAACCAGGTAACCGCTGCATTTGGCTTCCAGGCACATTTGGATGAGGGGGCATGCCTTTCGGGGGCATTGGATGTGGCATGCCCATACCATCCGGGTAAGGCTCTGGACCGCCAGGAACCCAGCCTTCCCCAGGGTTCATCTGGTAAGGAGGTGGAGGACCCCTGACCATTCCTCTGGGTCCATGCTGGTGTACCATCATGTCCTGCAAAGACCTCTGTTGCACCACTGCCTGCTCCTGTTTACGACGCTTTTCCTCATAAAACTCCTGCTGCAGTTTTAGCCAAGCCACCTGCTCCGGGGTCATGTGATCAAGGTGATCTTGGCCAGGCTGAGGATTCATTGGTGGAGGTACCATATCCTCTGGTGAAAAAGGCATGTCCCTATGTCCTTGGGGGCCAAATGGCATTCCACCATCAGGATGGGGCCCTGGGCCTTTGCCTAAATTTTGTGATTGAGCCATCATTGCCTGTATTGGCCCTTCAAGTTTTTTCTGAGGATTGTCCAGCATTCCAGAGTTTGGTTGAGGCCCAAGATTTTGGCCTGCAAGCTCTTTTAATGCAAACTCTTTCTCGTCGGGGAAAAGCATCCTTTGGATGTCTCGAAGGGTTTGTAAAGACCTCTCTCGATGCTCCAACTGCTCTTGTGAAAGTCCGTCGGGATTTTCGCCCATAGGTGGTGGTTCCCCACTAGGCACCTGCTGCGAGGAACTTTTTGTCTCAGGTTTAGTCTCTACTGGAGGAGCAACGTTCCCTTGAGACACTGGGCTGGCAGCTTGGTTGTTGGGGGTTGAGCTTTGCCCACATCCTTCAGTCTGTAATACATTAGAGTTGGCAGGGCTGCTGGCTGCAATTTTGCTCTCCGCCACTGCTCCATCTTGTCCAATAGAACAGTGAGGAGCTGCAGGCTTGGAAGGCAGTGCTGGGCCAGGCGGGTTGGATTGCACTTTGGCCGGCTGTGAATGGTTCTGCTCCTGCGGTGTAGGTGCCCGTGGGTTTGCTTTCGGTTCGTTCCGAACATTGGTAGAGATTGGAGTATTCTGCAGAAGTAAAAAAAAAAAAAAAAAAGCTGAAAAAAGGGGGTTTAAAATC